GCATTGTGACTGGGTAGACGGGCTGGCGCTGCGCGGTCTCGCCGACCGCTGTCCGGCCCTTGAGGAGCTGGACCTCACCGCCTGCCGTCAGCTCAAGGATGAGGCCATCGTGTACCTGGCGCAGAGGCGCGGCGCAGGGCTCCGAAGCCTCTCTCTGGCGGTCAACGCCAATGTGGGGGACGCTGCCGTCCAGGAGTTGGCTCGAAACTGCCCAGAACTCGAACACCTCGACCTGACCGGCTGCCTCCGCGTTGGAAGCGACGGTGTCAGGTGCCTGGGCCTGGGATCAGTGGGATGGGAGGAGGGCAATCACTTAGCCTCTAGGAGTAGGGATGGGCAGTGATCAAAAGGCAGAACTGGGGTTTCTGCTACCACAGCACCCCCATTCTGAACAGGAAAGGCCTCTGGGATTGCCTCGACCAGAGAGCCCACAGTTGAGAAACTTTATTGAATCAGTATTATTTACACATTGGCAGTTTTCACCTACATAGATTTCTGGCTTTTCTTCAACCAGGGGAGTTGAGCAGTAACCCTTTTAAGAGACAGGAAGTCTCCAGTTCACTGGAGGCATTAGGTATATGACCCCGATCCAGGCCCCCTTCCTTGTGTATGGAAGCAAAAAGTATGCCCCGAGATAGTGGGATACATAGGGGCTTTGCTGGCTTCCCCTACCCTGGGTGTAGCTCTTTGGCGCCCTCAGCCTCACACCACACCTCCCCTAGGACTTTGGCGGAATACTGCCCTGCGCTGCGCTCGCTCCGAGTGCGGCACTGCCACCATGTGGCTGAGCCCAGCCTGAGCCGCCTGCGGAAGCGCGGCGTGGACATCGACGTGGAACCGCCGCTGCATCAGGCCCTGGTGCTGCTGCAGGACATGGCAGGCTTTGCGCCCTTTGTCAACCTGCAGGTCTGACCCACCCACTGATGAGGCACAGCTGGACTGTGTGTCCGGGCCTGACTATGAACTGTAGGAAACTGGACTGTGTGGGCCTCTGGTAAGAGGCCAATGCCCTACCCCACCCTGGAGCTTCAAATAAAGAGCTTTTTACCCCGTCCTGCCTGGCGCTGCCCTGTTGGAGAAAGAGGACAGGCACAGTCCCCCAGCACCCCAGCTCTGGGGCAGAAATGATCAGAGTGCACTCATCTCCTTGGGGCTACCTTTACTGTGCCCATGGGCAGCTCTGAGAAGTTAACATGGTGGAGAAAGGAGGTAAGAGAAGATGTAGAGAAGGGGTCAGGAGTTAGAGTGGGCCCTGTGTGGTGGTGTAGGGCTTCTGCATCCCTCTGGGATCTGAGCCTAGAAGGCTGTAGCGGAGTCTGGTGAACGGCTCAGTGGAAGCGGTATTTTCTGGCCGGCTTGAGGTTGATGTATGTGGCCTTCATCTCCTCGGCCTCAGGGTTCCGCACATCTTTGAATCGCTCCCCCTTGGTGCTCACTACCTGGTTGTCGATGTATCGGATCAGCTTCTTGGGGGCCTGTCAGGCAATCAGTCAGTGAGTAGCAGAAGCCAGGAGACAGTCTCCCCCGCTCCGCACCCCCTGCAGCCCCCGCTCTCACCTCCTTGGGAGCCATGGGCCGGTGAATCTTCTGATCCTCTGCACTATCCACCATCATGTACCTGCCAAAAACTGGCTGGGTGAAGCTCCTGCCACCTGGAAAACCCTTTAGAAGCCCAGCCCAGCCCAGTCCAGACTCACTTCTGCAGGATGAAGGACTTCAGCTCATCCTTTCGGGGGCCTCTGAGGCGCCTGGATAGGTCCTGCAGAGGGGAAAGCCTGGTCTAGACCCTAGGTCACCAGTAAGAGAAGTATATGTGATAGGCCAGGGGTGGGGGCTTAACACTGAGGAGGAATGTAGCTGGGGCCACATGGGTTAGGGAGGGAATGGCAGAGGATACCTGGTTGGGGCCATCCCAGGCTGGAGGCCCCTCCTTCCCCTCTACCAGCATCTGCACAGCTTCTTCCAGGTCCCCCCGAGCTTTGGCCAGCACCCACTGGGCCTGCTCCATCGAACAGGTCGGGAACACCTCCAGGAGTACATCCACCCCTGACAGCAGCTCCTCCTCAGCACTGGCTGCCTATGGGCATAAATGTTGACAAAAGGCAGTACTTCCTCCTTTTCTGCCCCTAACTCCCTCATTGGTACCCTCCTCTACCAACCTCATCTTGAGTATCCCCAGCAGCAGGAGAAGCCCTAGTCTCTTCTTTGAGCTGTTCAGGCCTCTGCAGGGGCTCTGGGGAGATGGGTACGTGACCTTGGACCTCAGAACTCTGTGGTTGCAGGTTCTCTTAAAGAGACAGAGAGCACCAGGTTTGCCAGTGCTTCGGGGATAGGGGTTATAAGTCATCCAAGTGCCTGATCCCCAGACTCACCTTTGTTCCTGGCACCACTCAACTGCCCTGAGAGCTTCTGCATCATGTCCCCTATTGTACCCCTGAAAAGACAATGAGGGTGGTAAGAAGGAAGACAACTCTGCCTACCCTCCACAATCAGCTAGCACCCCTCCTCTTGGCCCCAGGCAGACCTCACCTTGGGATATGGGCGAAGCCAGGCACATAGGCCTCCATCATCTCAGTGAAAGCCTCCATATCGAAGTTCTCCTCTGATGGACCCGAGGGGCCCAAATCCTCCAGGACCCCAAGTACATAGGAGAAGATGACCTCATCCAAGCCGCTGCAGGAAGGGGACAAGTCAACCGTGGGTAAAGCACCGGATACCTCCCGCACTCCCACCTAGCTCAAGGCTCCAGCCCTCGCCTTCATGGGGCCCATGAGCCAGACCTCAAGCCTTGAGGCCAGAGAATATTCCACCCTCCCTCAGAGCTCTGGTTTCCCATTTGTCCAACAAATGGGACAAGGACAGGATAAGAAGTAAAGCCATACCAGCAAATTATACTCAGCCCTCCCCCACCCCAGGAATAGGGCCAAGTGTTCCCATCCCAGTCTTTCCATTGGCCATGGCCCAGATCCTGCCAGGCAGCTCCAACCCTGGCCCTAGCACGATTCTTCTAGGAGAGCTGCTTCTACCTGAGGTCAGCCTCTGGGAGGTGCGTCTGGACAAAGGCAAGGAGGGCTGCACTGACGATCCTCTCCAGCTCCATTTTCTCTCCTCTTCTGAAAGGACACAGATGTCGGTTTATCAGGCCCTCTTCTGCCTGCTCCTACCCACTAGGCCCAGGGGCAGTCAGCTCCTCCCTCCTGCCCTGTGGAAACCATTTGTTGATGTTGCCCATAGCTTCCAGCTCTCCAACCCTCCCCCGCACCCCCAGGCAGAGCCAAGCCCTCTCCCTGCCCATCTCTCTACCTCCTCCAGCCTGAGACAGGGCAGGGTACTGTGGCAGGGGAAGGTTCCAGAGTGGCAGTGCCCCTCACCCCTCCTGATGACCTCTCTCCATCTCCCCACCCCATGCCCTAGCAGCAGGCCCAGACGCTGTGTCAAGAAGCCAAGGTCTTGGGGTCACATGCCTCCTGGCTTAGGAATCCCATCACTGAGAGGGCCACTTAGCCCCCAAGTCTAACCACAAGGGGCCCATTGTCCAGCCCCCCAAGGAGCAGGCTTAAGAACTGAGCACAGCCCTCCCCCCCCGCCAAGAATGGCCACCCACCTTCTGGCACAAAGGGGCTTTTCTGGCTCCAGGGCCCAGATAGAAGGGGTAGTCTTCCATGAATTCTCTTCCCGACCAATCCTTGCCCTTTTAGTAGCTTGGGACTATCTACAAAGGACTTTCCATCTTCCTTTCCAAGGCCTATGGAGCCCTACAAGATCTGGCCTTTGCCTACCTCTCCAACCTTTCCATTTCTTCCTCACTCCACTCCTGCCCCACTAGCCTCCTTGCTGTTCCTCAAACTTGCCCGGCTTCTTCCTCTCTCCTTCAGATATCCACATGGCTCATTCCCTCACCTCCTCCAGGGCTCTGCTCAAATGTTGCCTCTTCAGAGAGACATTCCCTGACTAACCTACCAAAATAGGTATTCCTCATACTCCTTAGTCCCTTATCCTGCTTTATTTTCTATATAGCTTTTATTACAGCTTAATGTTACTTTATGTTTATTTGCCTATAAACATAAAATAACCTACCTCATAGAACAGTGATGGCGAACCTATGACACGCGTGTCAGAGGTGACACGCGAACTCATTTTTTGGGTTGATTTTTCTTTGTTAAATGGCATTTAAATATGTAAAATAAATATCAAAAATATAAGTCTTTGTTTTACTATGGTTGCAAATATCAAAAAATTTCTATATGTGACACGGCACCAGAGTTAAGTTAGGGTTTTTCAAAATGCTGACACGCCGAGCTCAAAAGGTTCGCCATCACTGTCATAGAACGTACGTTTCAAGAAGAGGGAGGAGGGGAGGACTTTGTCTTATTCATTGGTATAATCCTAACACCTAGAAAAATGCCTGCACATAGTCGGTGCTCAATAAATACTTATCGACTTATTTCATTCCCACCCACATGTGCATGACTCCCAAGTCTGTAGTTGGGAGTCAGGAACACATAGATGGGAATGAATGGCTCCAGACACAAAGGTCCAAATGTCAGCCCTCCATCCCATTCAGAAGACTCAGAAGCACCTTAAATTCTACCCACTCTGAACTCACTACATCCTCCCAATATGTGTACATTCCCTCTCCAAATATGCACCTTCTCCTGTTGCACCAGCTGATACAGCAACTCATTCACTCAGCTGCCAAACCTGAAACTTGGGGCTTATCCTTGATTCCTCCCTCTCTCAGTCCTGCCTGTGTACTCAACCAATACCAAGTCCTGTCCATTCTATTCCCTTATTCGTTTCCATTCTATCCACTTCTCCCCAACTTGTCTGGCTTCTGCTCCATATCTCAACATTTCTTAGGCTAGGTCATGAGTTACTTTTTCAGGTTTTGCTCTAATTAGGTTGAACCATATGAGCTTGCCAATATTGCCTGTTTTTTTTGTCTTGTTTTTTAAATATGTTTTTATTGATTTTATAGAGAGGAAGGGAGAGGGATAGAGAAATAGAAACATCGACGAGAGAGAAATATCATCGACTGGCTGCCTCCTGTGCATCCCCTACTGGGGATTGAGCCCGCAACCCAGGCATGTGCCCTGACAGGGAATCGAACCGTGACTTCCTGGTTCATAGGTCAATACTCTAACCACTCAACAAACCAGCTAGGGCTTGCCTGTTTTTTATTTACAAAATAAAAAGAAAGGCCTAGCCGGTTTGGCATGGCCCAAGGACTGAAGGGTCTTGGAATTGATTCCGGCCAAGGGCATGTACATCGGTTGCAGGCTCAATCCTGGCCCTGGTCAGGGTGCATGCAGGAGGCAACCAATCGATGTGTCTCTCTCACATTGATGTTTCTCTTTTTAAAAATCAATGGAAAAATATCCTCAGGTAAGGATTAACCAAAAATAAATAAATAAAAGAAAGGATATGGCCCTTTCAAGTAGCATCAATGTTGGTTTCTGAGGCATCACACTCTTCTGTTTTCCTACCTTCCTGGCCATTTCTTCCCAGAGTCCCCTCTCTGCTGCCCTGTCAATGTGGTAGCTAAGCTCAGGCTCAAAGCTGCTTTTCCTCTCCCCTCACTCTGTACCCCCCCCCCCCCCCCTGGAAGATCTCATCTGGGACCACAACTTTATTTTATTTTATTTTTTATTTTGTTAATCCTCACCCAAGTATATTTTTCTATTGACTTTTAGAGAGAGTGGAAAGGAGGGGGAGAGACAGAGAGAAACATCGATGTAGAGAGACATCCATTGGTTGCCTCCCTCATGTGCCCTGACCAGGGCCAGGGATCAAACTGCAACCAGTACATGCCCTTCACTGGAATCGAACCCGGGACCCTTCAGTCCGCAGGCTGACGCTCGATCCACTGAGCCAAACCAGCTAGGGCTGGAACCACATCTTTATGTACCAGCTCTATGTCACCAGTTCCCAAATGTCCAGTCCTCTAGTCCAGTCTCCCCTTCTGTGACACCCAAGTCTTTTACTCCTCCAAAGCTGTCCTCAGTAAAAGGCATGTCCACACACCAGCTTTTCCGGTCACAAGTATGGGAACTATCCTGGATACATCCAATCAGTCACCAAGCCCTGACCATACATCTCTCAACACATCTACTTCCCTGCATCTTTATTCCCACTCGGCTCCATCTCTTACCTGCACGAGCTTCCTCACACTTCTCCCACAACCAGCTTTCCCCTAACCATCTATTTTCCACAAAAGTCACAGCTGTGTGATCTTTACAAAAAAAATGTTTTTACTGCTTGACTTCCCTTCAGATAAGTCAAGATTCTTTTTGTGGCCTTTGATTCAGGGCCTTACCATGCACCACTGGGTCACTCTGGCTTTCTTTCAATTTGCCAACACTCAAACTCTTTCATGGCAAGGGCCTTTGCATGAACTGTTTCCTCTGCCTAGGCAGCTTCCACCTCCACCTCTTCACTTGTCTAATTCCTTCAGGTCTGTTTTAAATTCCTTTTCTCAAAGGATGCTGTCCCTGACCCTCATTGCACACCGCCTTTTCCTCACTTAGCAGCACCTTTCACACTATTTGGACAATGTTGAATGTTTCTTCTAGTTGTTTCATAAGGGCAGGGATTACAAACCTGGCTTATTCATCAATGTACTCTTAGCATCTCCTGTGAAGTAGACACTCAATAAACACTGCCTGCCTGCTTTACAGGTGAAGAAAAGGAAGCTCAGTGGGTTGAGTGACTTGCCCAAAGTCACATGGCTTGACTGTGGTAGTCAAGTGTATATTGTAGGGGATAGGAGGATATCAAGACTTCTCAGTGGGCTGAGACAGGCCTACCATCTATAATCTGTTTCCTGGTCCCCTGAGTGTAACATAGAGTTGCTGTGACAGCACAGGGGTCACTTTGGACAGCAGGACTAAGAAGCTGTAGCCTAACCAGGGGGGCATGCCTGTCTCTTGCTCCAGACCTTAGCATGGGCCCTGGGAAGGAGCAGCACTTGTCAGACCAGGCATACCAGATCCCCTCCTGCAGCCCCCCCCCCAATAAGTCAGTCCCCTAGAGAGACCACATCTACCTTCAGTTACAGCAAATCATGGCCCCTGTCAGTTGCTTGGCAACCTCACTGGGCCAAAGGCCACAGGTGCTGCATACTGGTAAAAGCCCAATTTCTAGGGAAGAAGCTGTCAAGGATGTGTCTGATGCCTCTAGATTTCTAACCAAGGTCTGAGGGCTAGGGAGTTGTTACTGGGAAACTTCTCACTGTGTGCAAATAAAATGTCTTCTTCTCCGAGCTTTTGCACTAGCTTGTCTCCCAAGGGAACATCCTCCCTCCTCCTGTTCTTGAGCTGCCCAAACTCTACCTAGCCTCCAGAGCTTGCCACTTCTTTCTTTCACCCTTCTCCATCCCCCTGGCCTTCCGCATTTCTTTCCTGCCTAGAGGCTTCTAACATTTCTCCTCCATCGTCCCTGAATTGGGGAAGCTGCAGCCTGGGCAGCCAACCTTCTCCAGAGGAAGAACATGATCTCCATAAGACTTTCCAAATTCCAGATGTAGCTCACAGAAGCCCATTACTCCTGGGGGCTCTAAATCGAGATTCACTGATTATTGGCAAAAATGAAAGGTGGCCTTGTCCTGTCATAAGTCCTACTTAAATACCTTTGATAATGGTAATAATAGCTAGCCCTTACTGTGACTGCTTACAATGTGCCGGGGATGGTTCTATGCACTTTACATGTATTGACTTACCTAACCCTCACAATAACTCTAAAACATAGATACTAATATTATCATATTATCCCATTTACCTAAAGGAAATGGGGAACTGATAGGTTAAGTCACTTGCCCAAGGTCACATAGTGAGTTAATGACAGATTTATACCCAGGTAATATGGCTCCAGAACCCTCACCATTAACCACTACACTGCACCAAAGCTCATGATGTAAATGCTCCTCTTTCCTGGGCTGGCCCTCTTGCCTACTCCACCATCTCTGCTCACACCATTCTCCCCATTCATGACATCTTTCCCTCGGCCTCTCATTCTGCAGGGTTCATTTCCTCTCTGCAGCCAACCCTGATGGCCCCATCCTCACTGCCCCCAGCTGGCCTGAGCGCACCCCCAACACCAGGCACAGGCCTGGACTCTGCAGATGCTCCATACAGACCCTCTGGGAGAAGGAGGACCTGGGGGAAGGGGTACAGTTCCCTTGTGGAGGGGAGGTGCTCAAGGTGGAGGGAGCACAGAGGCCATGGGGGGGAGGAGTTCTGGGCGCCCGTGTGGAGTCGGGCCGTGGCACTCAGAGGGTCTGGCGTGGAGGCATTCACTGCTTCGCCCCGCCGCTCTGAAGCCCGGCCCCTGGGGCCCCGGTTCCACAACGCAGGTTCCAGAGGACATCGTGGTCCCCTCACCCCCCAGGCAGGTCTTAAAGGCGCCAAGGACGCTGATGGCACCAGGCATCCCGGCATCCAAAGGCGGGCGGGAACACACACGGGCGGAGGGGGCAGCACAGGAAGTGGGACGACAATGATGGCCGACCCCTGAAGCAGGAGCTCCCTAAACAAACGAGCGAGGTACCCGCGAGGCTGCAGGACCGTGGGCGCGAGGGCCTGGGGATGCGGCTGCGGCCCTGGGGGGACACGTGACGAGGAGGCCTGAGCAAGCTGGGAGGGGCCTTGAGACAGGCCACGGCGAGAATCAGAAATGGGGTCCGGGGGTACGGTGGGGGGACACACAGGACAGGTACCCGGGCCAGCGCCCTGCGGCTCCCCGGCCCTGGGCCGGGAGCGTGGGGGACATCACCTGCTCCGTCGGGCGCCGCCAGCTACCGGTCCCGCGCGGTGCAGCTCTCATTCCCCGGCCCCGCCAACGAGATCACAGGCGGGGCCCAGAGCGGTGCGCTCCCAGGGGCGCCGCGGCCACCATATTTGAGAAGGGCAGATGCCCGTGGATGGGCGTGGCTTCTGCTCCCTTTTCAAATTCGCCTCCGGGCTGGGCCGGGCCCCCGCCGCGGCCACGTGTGTTGCGGGGAGGGAGGCGCTGAAGTTGGAGGAGCCGCCCGTGGGTGGAGGCGCAGCGTCCGACTGTATCGCCGCCTGGTTCCGCGTCTTCCACCAACGACCCCATCCGGTGTCTTCCCATCCGCCTTGTTTCTTTGCCACAGTCTCCGCCCTCGAAACCCATAGCTTTCTCCTGCTCCCCTTGTCTCTCCGGCCTTCCGTAAGGCTCCCTGGCTGGATCTGGTGGCCCCTTTCCCCAGGCCTGGTCTTCTTGCCCAAACCCCAGCGCCTCTCCCCCTTCCTGTCCCGTCCAGGGTCAAGTCCTGTTACCCAATCAACTCTTCTGTTCCCCACCATATCTGTTCCCTTAACAGAAATGTCTCCCCAAGGCCGGGGGTTTGGGGGGTTACAGGGTCTGGGTCCTGGGTTGGGCGGGGGCGGGGGTGGGAAGAAGGTGTTCGGGTGAGGATCGACCTGCGCTCAGATCCCGGAGGCCCGCGGGCCATGCTCCCCGCCGTGTGGACGGGGCTTCTGTAGGACAGGGCACCTGAACCCCGAACCCAGCACGGCCTCCACTTCCTCTTTCTGTTCCTGCGGCCTCCGCTTTCGGGTGCTACCCTGTGGGGAAGCTACCCCGTGGGGAGTTTTCCTCTCAACCCCCCCCCCCCCCCCAGTGGGTCATTAGGGAAAGAGTTTCCTTTAAGAATGAGCTCATTCATCCCCAGTCTGCAGGGATGCGCTCCTGTTCAGGGCTAGTCCCTTTGAACGGAGCTGAGGACCCAGAGACTGTCGCTGCCCTCGGGAGTCTCAGTCCACGGTAGAAAGTCCCATGCTCCCCTCGCCCCTAAGGACTTGAGTCAGTACCAAAATAGGGGGGAAAGGGGGATCACTGCTCCCTCTTCCAGCCCAGTTTCTCACTGCAGCTCCCACCAAGACAGCAAGATGTTGGCTGCTGGAGAGGGACAGACAGGGGAGGGGGAAGGAGGGAGCACAGTTGGCCTGTGCTCCCATGAAAGCACTGCGCTGCCGGCCTGGCGCTGCTGGGGTTAATGAGGGGTGTGGTAAGTCACTTTGAACTCGGCCGACTGGCCCCAGGGAAGGGGAGGGTGGGTAGCTCCACAGCCTCAGGCCTCTGCCCGCTCTCTAGACTGACCATTTCTCCCCGTCCCCCATCTCTTATCCTCCCTGCTGCACCCCGTCCCATTGCACAATACTGATGATCACTCTCCTCTCCCTGCACCCCCATCGCAGGAACTGCCAGTTTTCCTCAGTAGCTGTCCCTAGTTGGGCCCTAAGACTCCTGTAGGCCATCCCTGACACTGCCTTTCCCCTCCCCCACCGCCTGTTCTAGGATGTAACTAGATATCTTCATCAGAGAGAACTTCCTGAGCTTTCAGGGAAGGATGATGGGAAAGACCTCTTGGGGTGAACCCCTAAATTCCCAGCTCGAACTGTGGAGAGTGCCAACTCTTTGTAGCAGAGGCCAGGTTCTGGGGTCAGAGGACAGCGGGTGGACTGCGGAGAGAGACAGCCACAGACACAAGGACACACACACACTGTAAAGTGGGGGCTCCAGGGAACCCTTGTCCTGCTCAGCATTCCACAGCCGGCCGGACCTTAAGATGTTCATTTTCTCTCAGTCTCTCCCTCCCCAAGATGGGAACAGACCCCACCTGCCCTTTGGGTGCTGTTTAAAGCCACACAGGTTGAAAGGACGCAGAGCGATGCCTCCTCTCTCCCCCTCAAGTGAATTTTGCAGCTGGTATTTGGGTGCTTGGGTCTCCTTAGCTGATTGGGAAAGCTAGAAGCTTATGTTTGAGGAATTAGGCATAAAGGGCAGATTTCCCAGACAGTAAGAGCAGAGAAAGGACCCAGCTGGTTGGTCTCAAAGGCTGGGAGAGACTCGGAGACTGAGGTGAGGAAGGGGACACTGGGGGGGGGGGGGGGAGAGCAGAAGGGGTGTCCCCATTCTTGCTTGAGGTCAGAAAGGGCTCTCTGGGCAGTGTGCCCAGCCCTCCCACACCTTCCTCCTTTCTCAGAAGAGCCGGGGCGGGGGCGGGGGCAGGAGTTGGCTGGGGCAGATGGAGCCCTATTTAAGGAGCTCTCTTTGAGAGCATCACTGCAGATCCAGTCCCTGGAGCGAGAGAGGAGGCTTCATTGGTAAGCGCCACCCCCTTTCTTTCAACTCAAGCAGGGTGAGGGTAGGGTGGCTCCTGAGCCTGCTGGCTTGCCTTTCCCTCTTGAGGGATAGGCTGCAGCTCGGCCTTGTGAGTGGGAATAGTACCCAGCCCTCAGTTTGACTCTCTAGAAAGTGAAAGTGTGTGTCAGGGAAATCTTTCTCCACCGGTCTCCTATCTTGCAGGTACTTCAGATGAGATTTTCGGGAGCTGGGACTGCTGGGCTGCTATCTTGAGGATCCACATTTGGAGCTCCCTTCTGGCTCAGGAAGCCACTTCGTCCCTAGAAAGATGCCCTTCTCAGTAGGTATGTTCTGGCTCTTCTCCCAACCCCTGACCCCTCCAGCTTCACCTCCGGTCCCACTAGGAGGAGGAGCACATCTGGGCATGAGATGATGGGACTAACTCGGCAGTGCCCACAGAATTCTTGCCTTGGCCCTTAGTTCCCTCCCCTCATATCTTACATTAATTCCTTTTGAAATGTAAAGAACCTTTGCCCCTTTCCCTAGCAACAGGCCCTATTTTCAGCTCCAAGCTAGACCCTCCCTGGAGATCCCACGTGACCCATCCTGGGAATGGGGGGAAATTCACAGGCGTGAGCATGGGAGGGCAGCATCCAGGCTGAGAGAACTTTGGCCACCTGGCTCTGAGAACTGAATTCCATAGGCTGTGAGCTCTAGCAAATGCCCTAGGGACTCAGTTCTGGTGCCCGGCTGTGCTACACCACCAATACATGACCAATATCAAGGTCATGGCTCAGGCTCACATCGTCCCAGCCAGGTGCTCCTTAGGCTACTCTTCTGCTCAAAGACTTGAATGACCCTCCAAAACTCCTTACCTTGTCATTAAAGTCTTTCATAGTGTGGCCTCCACTTAGCTTTGAAGCCTGATCTTCCAGTGAAACCCTGCTGCTTCCTGCTTCTGCTGCCATGGTTCCTCCTCAGTGCTTCTTCAGACCCCTCCTCCCCATCACTCTGTTGGCATCCTATGCATCCTTTAAAGCCCCTGTCAGGTGCCTCTTTCAAGAAGCCTCTCCCCAATGGTACATATGATCTCCCAGAAATCCTCCATACTCCCCTCCATCACGGCTCAATTCATGAGCCCCTTAGTGTGTCTAGTCCAGTGTTCTGCACACAGTAGCTGTTTAATTAATGTTCCTTAAATTTTTCTGAGTGTGTCTCATCAATGAAGAGGCAGGCAGTGTGGCCTAGAGGTTGAGGCTACAGTCAGATTTCCCAAATGCATTCTCTATGTGTGACCTTGGGTTAGTTGTTAACCTCTGTAGGCTTCATTTTCCTCATTTTAAAATGGGAATAATAATTATATCCACATCAAAGTTTTGTGAAGATTGAGTTAATAGTTTCTATACAGGACTTTAGCACCTGGCCTGCTCCCTTGAGTAGAATGTGAGCTATCCATTTGAGAGGTGGCCTAAAAATTGGTCAGTCAAAATTCATTGAGTGAAGGGCTCCAGGTGAGATGCCAGGGTTGGGTAAGGCTGGGACAAGGCCAGGAGGAGGAGGCCATCAGGATCAGAGTTTGGTGGCCCAAGCTCTGCTGGGATCTAGGACCTCTGGATTCCTACCTACTGTGTGACCTGGGGTGAGGCATTTCTCTTTGGCCTTGGTTTCCCAGCATAATGTAAATTGAGGGGGTTGGACCCGGATGACCAGCAAGATCCCTGGCAGCCCAGATGTTTTATGATTTCTAAGCATCTAAATATCAAGTTCAAAGAAAAGATCAAAGAAGGAAGCATCCAGGCTCCCTGAAGGACTCCCTTAGATCCACAGGACCAGGAGCAAGCACTGGGATTTGGAAGTCCAGGGCTGGTTGAACTGAACTGAGTGGCAGCACCTCCTTCAAAAGCCTCTAATCAGAGGATAGCGGTAAACTCGTGTGCAGCATATGGGCATTTCCAGAGCATAAGTGGGAGCCTTGGGAGAAATGTATGTGAGCAATGCAGATCCCTCAGAGACAGGGGGAAATTGAGACTCCAAGGGTTTGGGCTCAAGAGGATAGAGAGGGAAGGGAAATCGGGACACATGTTACTTAATGTGAAACCCAAGATTTACTTGAAACCTGCCTTGTTTCAAAACAAGATTTGAGGAGGCTTACACGCATAAAGACAATTCTCCAAGATTAAAACAAAATCTGTAATATAGATATGTAGTACATTTTAAATGTGTATCCTTTTGACCCAGAGATTCAATTTACTTTTTACATTTTTATTTTTAGTTAGAGATTATTACAAACTTACAAGAAAGTTGCCAGAATAGTGCAAAGAACTCTTGCTTATCCTCCTACCAGATTTACCAACTGTTAACCTTTTGCCCTGCTTTCTCTGTCGTCCTTATTTCAAATCTTGCTACTTGTCCCAATAATGTCCTTCATAACCATTTTCATTCTGGTCTGAGATCCCAAACAGGATCATTGCGTTGCTTTCATGTTTCTTTAGTCTCCTTTGACCAGAAACAGTTTCTCTGCCTTCCTCTGTCTTTTATGATATTTTTGAACAATAAAGACCAGCGGGGTTGTGTCTCAATTTACGTTTATCTGATGTTTCCTCATAATTATGCATTACTGCTGAATTGATGTGGTGTTTTCCAGTTTAACATATCAGAGATCATGTGATGTTGACTTGTCTCTGGTAAAGAAAAAAATTTCAAGACACTGCTGTTAAAGATGGTAAGAAAGACTTTATTCAAGAAGGGGTACTGCAATGGAATTCAAGTGTTTTCCACTGTTTTCCCTACTATACTACTAAGTTGTTACTATTTGCTTTGTAA